GTAAAAGCTATCTTCATGAACTTAAACTGGACTTTAAAAAATGCTAATGCTGAGTAGGCCATATAAATGCATTGAGGTTGATGTGGTTTTGGTTGTGTTATTTGTTGGGAGTTTTTTTGTTTGGTTGTTGTTTTTTTTTTGCATCAGATTTCTGCAAATACGGTGACAGCAGCACTAAAGAAACTTGCAGAAACTTGTTTTACAAATCTCAGTATAAAACCTATTTAAATTCACAATATGTCTCATTTTACTTCTTATAAATTCAAAAACCTCATCTCACAAGTGCTAATAATTAATAGGGTGCTTTGAACTTCTCTGAAAGAAAAACGTTGGGAGGCTTGAGGTAAGTAACTTTCAAAAGCTTTGATTATCTGTCAAAGAAAAAAAGTGTTTGAAATATGGCTAGGAAATGGTAAACCATTAAGAAGTGGCAACTGGAATACCCAACACAGCGCTGTTTCTCTTTCTTTTTCTGAAATTATATCTTCTGGCTGTATAAAGGCTTCATTAATATTTCTCAGATTTCCTTATATGGCAAATTATGCAACAGAACATGATCAAAGCTATAAGCACCAAAAAGATATTAGCAGCTCTTCTTCAGCAAATTCTTCCAGTGGGGATTGTTTCAAGTACATAACTTAAAAAGTGGGAAATAAGGTGAGTGTGAGACTAGCAGTAATATACTGTAATGACTATTGTATTATTTTTCTGTAGCAACCATTATTCATCTCTATAAATAAAAAGCAAAGTAGTTAATGTCTTAGAGTGCTAAACATTTACCAGTACACTTTCCTGTAGTATCTCCATGACTTTGACATGCCTTAAATAAAGAACCCGTGCTGTCAGTAACTTCTGGCAAACGTCTTTGTTGAACAAAACGTATTTGGAATTTGTTTACAAACACACACTGTAGCATTTCATAAACATCTGCAAATCGCTCTCTACCATGTGGGAACATCTGCAAGTCTGGGCCCAATACCCTTCCAAATTGCCTGATTTGAAATCTTTTCCTGCTGATAGGGGGATACAGGAGGCAGATGTACTTCCTTTCCCCAGCACTGGGATTCAACTATGCATACAGACTAGTCAACTGCAAAGCTACATATTTGTGTAGATTAGGAGATGAGTTTTATTGTTGATATACATGTGAACATTGTGAACATTCAGAAAGAATTTAAGAAAGCCTAATTCAATTTGAGAAATTAAATTTGCCTAGGAGAGCAGAAATACCAGTGACATTTGGAGTTATTTTAATGACCAAGACTACAAGTACAAGTAGTAAAATAGTCAGGTAATTTACCCTATTTTAAATTTCTTCATGATAAAGCTAAAGAATGAGTGTTCAGTTTCCCAGAAGGCTTATATTTACAGAAAAAAAAAAATTGACTATAGAATTGGTTGTCTTATGTAATTCAGCTCTTTATTTAACAACTAATGCCACCTAAAAGAAGGCAGGAAGTTCTTCATACTAGAATGCGTTCATACCATACCTGACAAATGTTTTTCAAGGAATAATTATTCTTTGAATAATAAAAAGCTCTCCTTCAAAACAGCAACTCAGCACTATCACATTAAAGACAGATAAATACTTTCATTTGATCTTCATGTTCAATTTATGAGAAAGATGAAGTGATTATGTAAATATTGATAGAAGTTGGTTTACAGGTTAAAAAATAAGCAAGTTCAGGCAGTCTGTACTCACTCAGACCTGTTCTTGAAACTTCCTTTGACAATTAATAAGGTCACGTTTGAATTGTAAGAATGATGTGGGCCTGATTTTTGAAGAAACTCAACTGAACTGGTTATCTTGCTGCACCCCACATTTCTACAGGTGTGAGACATCAAGGGCCACTGAGCAGAACACCAAGAAGGCAAACCAAGAAGCACCTGGAGGTAACTCTTTAGTCTTAATCCTTTTCATTCTCTGGCAGACTTTATCCCAAACTTGTGACATGGAGAACCTAAACACAGAAGCTGACAAACTTACGGCTTATTGCAGAAAGCTGGTCTGAGAAGTTCAGAGGAACCAGCCAAAAGTAGTTGATTTGCAGCACTGTAACCAAACGTCAGAACACAGGAACTATCTGAGTGGATTAGAACAAATGTCTGCCTAGTCCAGGGTGCCCAGTAGCAGAGTATGCAGAATACGAACGCTGCAGTAGATAGATGTGAAGTAATCTACCTTCTATACTAAATCTGTCTCATTTGAAACACACAGATTGGCTTAAGCTATGATCTAAAAAATAATGCTAAGTATGACAGTGTAAGAAGGGTTGGCGGCAGTCTTTCTTTTGTACTTCATAGAAAGTTGAGTGTCCTCATCCTCCTCATGAGAAAAAAATCAAAAAGGCTTAAAAATGTGCAAAATCTACTACAGAAACAAAAATGTTCTACATGAAAAATAGAATTAAAATATTAAAAGATTTTATAAAGAAACAATAACTACAATGATCAGTGCATGAACAATTAACATTTAATTTCTTATGACAAAAGAATAAGGAAATACAAATAAAACTGAAATACAAAATTCTTACATGATAAAAAGTATGTTTTCCATAATGCTTACCAAAAATTGATATAGAGAACCTCTTGACACAGCATATTTCAAAACTAAATTTAGGCAGGTTGAAAACACCTCAGATGTGTGTAAGCAAACAAGGAAAATAACAGCATTTCCTAACAAGTGATCTGTGTTGCTGTAAAGCATGGGTAAATTACCTTCAGTCTTCCTGTACAGCAGTTCTTCCGTTTGAAAATAAAAAATAACAATATTTCAAGAAGGGAAGATAAGAGAGCTATTATTTGTATCTTCTGACTCAGGAACAGAAACATTTGCAAAAAATGTAACAGCAAGTGTAATAGAGTCCCACTGACTAAATCAACTTACATAGTTTGAACAGTGTTGTCCTTTGGCAGCTTTGTTCTCCCTGCAAACCATAGAATCTCGGAATCATTGAATCACCAAGGTTGGAAAAGACCTCAGAGATCATCCAATCCAACCACACAGAAATATTTAAATGTGTGTAAAATTCAGGTTCCAGACCTAGACTCAGATCTCCTCAAGAACGTCCCAAATCTGACGGAGCATGATGACATAGGAAATGGGATGTGCCATGAACAAGAATATTCCCTACCTGCAATACATTACATCTGTGTCAGAAACCTATACTAGGTGTGGGGGGAGACAGACACTTCTTCCAGAGCCTACCTTTTATGCCCTCTCTAAATAAACAGGCCAAGACCACAAGTTTGTTTCATTCAGATTCCTCAAGCCCTGTGAAAATATTGGGACTTTTTCCTATTTTTGTGACTTTTTGCATTTAAACTACTCAACTAGTAATCCAGACAGGAAGGGGCCTGCAAATTAGAGTTACAAAATGGCCAGACAGGCACTGAAAAATTGAAATGAACATGTATCTGGAACATGCAACAAAACTTGATCTCAGCACAAGCTCGTGGAACCAGTGCATTTATAAGAAAATGATGGATTACCCAGCTGAAATGGACATGACAGAGTAAAAAACAAAAACCAAATATTGTAAAGATACAGATTTAAAGAATATAGCAGGAAGCACAATGTAAAAGTTACTTTATGCAGTAATCCAGAAATAGTGAGCAAGTTCTACCATGTTATATAGAAAGTTACTGACAAGCACGTAGGCAGAAGTGGATGAAGTTTGCAGAAAAGCTGACAAAGTCAAATGGCCACTGGAGATGCGTTCCATTCCATGGTGCAATCAGAGTGGATCAGCTGTGTTTAGTACAGTGTGGTACAGCAGATGAAACAAATCACCTGCTCCATGGAAAGCTTAATATAAGAAACTTCTCAGCACAGTTTCAGGGGTTCATAAAGCGTAGGCTTGAAACAGACTGCGAGTTCAAGAACCTCAGGCCAATCAACTCAGATACAGCCCTTGTGGTTTTGTTTTTCAGAGGACAAGAGCATTTCACATATTTTTCACTTTATTTCACCTTGAGTGGTCCAAAAATCCAAAGTCAGTTCTATGGACAATGCATCTTCCACACACATGGAGACACTTCTGGGGGAGAAAAGCACATGCACAGCAGCACAGCAGGCAACGAAAATGAGCTTTTGGTCCAGGAATCTAGGAAATTCATGTGTATGATGTTGTGGGGTATTAAATACTCAGAAAAGCTGTCACCACCTTTGTTTCATCGTCACAGTGTTGATACATTTTCATAAGTTAGTTTGGGAGCTTTTGTGAGATGGAAAAGACCTTTGCTGTGTTCTGTTACAGCAGGAGAGAGCCCTGTACCTAGACAATCCATACCACACACGAAGAAGCCCAGAACTTGAGTTTCACCTACAAACTTATCTTCGCACACCCAGCCAGAGCTATCGCCAGCGGGGTCGGAACGGGACAATCCCACTTCAGCCCCCAGCTGGAGCCCCTGACAGCGCAGCAGGTGCCATAAGCGAAGCGCTCCATACAGACCCAGGGACAGGACAGGCAGCACCTGCAGGTCAGCCCAGAGCCGGCAGCACCGCGGTGCGGCTTCAGTTCCAACCCTCCGCCTTCACGTATCATTTACTTTCCATTCTAGGTAAAGCAGGGAAAGGTTTCTCGTGTGAGGCGCTCCCTCCCGCCAGTCTTTGCTCTCCTCCTCACCACAGCGCTCCGTCCCCGCGCGCGGCGCCGATCGCCCCGCAGAGCCCCGCAGCCGGAGAGATCCCCGCACGGGTCTGAGCCTGCCCTTCCTCTTTCCCTACCCCACGGCCACCTCGCCCCTGGAAGACGTCCCTCCGGGAATGGGACTTGCCCCTCCTCGCAGCGACCCGTGCAAGGAGCTCTCTCCCTGCTCCGGGCCCCCTCTGCACCTCAGAGCTTCCCTCCCTTTCCCGGCGGGAAGAGCTCCTTTCCCTTCACTCCAAGCGAGGCATGCTTTCTCTTCCCTGCTGGAAGCCCCTCGCCTTCATCCCCTGGAGATGGGGTCTCTTCCCCTCTCCCCCCGCCCAGGCGCCTGCGGCTGGCACTGACCCGTCTCTGCCGTCCTGCTCCTCTCCGCCATATTTGTTGTCATCCCCTCAGTCCCCCCCCTCCCCCCTCCCCACGGCGCGAGACGCCGCCTGGGCGTCGCCATGGCAACGCACGTCACCGCCGGGGAGCCCCGCGCTCCCCCTCTGACCGCGCGCAGCCGCCGTGGCGCGGCGGGAACGAAAGGGAGGGGAGGCGAGGGGTGTGGAGGAGCATCGCGCTGGCAGAGCCCCCCGCCCGGGAGAAGCCACCCCGGCGCGCAGCCACCCCGACAGCGGGCTGCAATCGCTGGGCCGCCGCTGCCGCTGTCTCCCAGGCTGGCGAACGTGGCGGCCGCGCGTGAGGGGCCGGGCCGCGGGTAGAGGTGTGCCACCATCCCGCCCTACCGCACAGCCCGCACGGCGCTCTGATTAGACGGCAGTTACGGCCACTTTTTTCCCTCGTTTTTTAGGGCAGCCCAGTGGGGGGCTTCATTATGAGTGTGTGTGTTGCCCGTCTGTCTCTCGCCCTAGCAGGTGAGTGCGACCATATGGCAAACACAGTCAGGCTTCCTAGGGACGGGAGGGCTCCTACGTGCGCTGCAGGCCCGCTGGGTGACACCCAGCATGTGGCAGATACAGCAGTGAGTTGTGTGGTGCAGAGGGGCTAATTATGTGTGTGTTTCCCCAAAGACCTTCATCATGTGTCCTCGGTGCATGCTCCGAGCCTAGGTGAGGGGCAGGCAGTGTCACAAGTGCAAGCACAGATCCTTCAGTCACTTGTATTTGCATCCATGGACACACGAGGGATGAACACACTCCAAAATGAGTGGCTAACTGAAATGGGAAGCGTGTGTGCAATGCTAAGCAATGGAAATGGGCAAGACTGTTTATGGCTACATAAACATTTATGTGTTTGCTTACTTACAGCTAATAAATTAATGTTACTACAGAGACCAGTGATCTGTTACTGAAGCACTCCAAGCCTGAAAATGAAGGCAAGTGAAACTGTACCTTTCTCCATCTCTCTGTCTTCCTATCTCTTATGTGCATTTTCTGCTCCAGTGCAACACCTGATAACAAGACTCACATGGTTCTACACAGCTAGATTTTTCTGTAGGATCTATTACCTTCTCTTCATTGTGTTTTTCCTTGGCTTTCACAGCCTTGTCGATTCTTCCTCCAGTTCATCCTGTTCTGGTTATTTTTCTCTTCATTCTCAACATATTTCTATACCATAGCCACAGCCACAAGTTTTCAAACGCAGCCACATTCCTATTCCAGTGACTGAAATATGTGTCTAAAATAGTGCACCAAGGGGGCTTTCTGATGGGGTTAGAAGTCCTGTTGGAACATGGATATTGTTCTTTGCTTTGTGCCAGCACTTAAAAGCCATCAAGGGACATCTAGATTCAAGCCCTGGAAAAAATAATGTCTATACTTCTTCAGCCTTCATAAACGACATGTGGTAACTAGGATACTGCTAAGGCTGGTTTGTCTCACTGCTGACAATGAACTATGGTGAGCACCCCACCCCATGCTCTCCGTTCACACCATTTCCTTGGACTAGAAAATTTCCCAGGCCTTGTTTTTTGCTTGGCAAATGATCCTGGGAGACCGCACTTCAGATTATGCTGCATGTATTCTCTTCTGTCCATTCAGGCCTCACTGATGACTGCTTATATCAAATGTTCATCAAATATTCATTTGGTAATGTTATTAGCACTAATTCAAGTTTTTAATGTACTTTACATTCTCCCCTGGAAACTCTCTCCATGCATTACTGTACCTCCTGCCTGTCTGTCACATAAACTACACACCTAACCTGACTGCTTTTCCTTTTTATTTTTCTAGCCTGTTATCAACTCTGGCTTTCTCCCTGCAAAGTTGACCATATCAGTATCAGTAGCTAGGGCAACTTTTTTGTTTCTGCTCATCTTTTATCCTGTCTGTATAACTTCTTTTATTTAAGGTTCCCTGGTAGCCATGTCCCAGTCCTTAAAATACTTTCTCATAACATTCAGCTCTTCATTCTTTTATCTAAACTTTCCTTTTTTATCCAGGTCTTACATAGTTCTGTCCAAGTCTGCAGCTCTTGTCTGGTTTCTTATGTCCCCAAGTCCCCTATCCCCTTTGTTCTACTTGCTATTCCAGCTTTAGTGTCCCCTCATCCATATTTCATTCCTATCTATTAATAGTCAGATAGCATTTTTCATCTGTAAATTTCTAAGAATTAAGTGCCTGTGGAGAAACCTTCCAAATCAGTTCTTGGTATGACCTTCTCTTTATTCACATTTCTCCCAGAGACTCACTTCTGTGGTGACCACAAATACTAATCCAAAGGCCTTTTGCCTCCAGCTGCCAGTAGCTCAGATATTTGTAGATGTATTGAAATAAGAGATATCTGGGGAAAGCACTCTTTTTTTCAGTCAAATTGGCTTTTCTGAGTTAACACACTTGAAAAACCTAGAAATGCCACGCTCAAGTTTTTTTTAGTCTGAGTTTAATGCTATGTTATAGTCACCTCACCAAGCTGAAATGATGTTAAATATAGATGATATGCAGTCTTTCCAAAAACAGTAAGCTAATTTGACTTGAGAGAAAAACTGGAAAGTTCACATAGAAAGTTCTTTTGAAAAGGGAAAGATACCTGAATGGTGTAAACTTGAAGAATGAGGACTGAAAAATGAGGGAAAGAATGATCAGGAGAAGCACTTGTTCATTTTTATTTATGCATTTTTAGAGCATGCGAAAAGATGTTAGGGTGCTCTTCAACAGAAAGACATCTTTGGTCCCTGCCCTTCCAAAGCTAATAATCTAATTTTGGACATCACGCAGCAACAGGGAGTAACAGAATACTACAGCAAAATGCTAACTCCTTGGTTATCTTCACATTTATTACTTCAGCCATATTCTTTATTTTATTGCATCCCTCCTTCAATATCTTAGCAAGCAAAAGCTACTTCACTTTTATGGCTCTTCACAGCTTATTCCCACCCTATCATCTTTTAATATCCTATAGAGAAATCAACGTCTTCCCCCCACACATTTCATTCAGTAATAACTCTACTTGTTACATTTTCAAACCAGCACCTTCTTGCTTTCCCTCACTGCTGCTTCTCACTCCCACTCACCTAATTTTTCTCCTTCAAATCCCTCCCTAAAAATCTCCTATGCTGTGATGTCTACTGAAGAAATGATAATAAATAGTCAGCTGTGAGCCAAGATTACTGTCTGTCAGTGTGACTAGTGTTGTCTTATTCTGATCTTTGTCTGTCTTTGGCATCAACTTGTGTGGACTGAAAGTGACTTGAAGCAGGCCCTGTGTTCTTGCTGTGTTAGATACGGGTTCCCAGAATGGACTCTTTAGAAGCATTATATAAACAAATAAAAATAAACTGCAGTAATAGAAATACAAATGGAAATACTGGCCAAAACCACAAAGATTAGGCAATTATTCAGTTGTGATTCATCAGCTTAGACAAATTTACATAAAAATTAATGTGACTGACAACTCCGTTCTAAATATCAAGCAAGAAATTATTTTTCTAAATGTGGATTTGTGCTATCTTTCTGTTTATTTATAGTCCATAGGAACTTGAGGAGCACGCTATTTTTTCAATCTTTCTTGTATTTAAAATGTCAGATTTCCTATTGTTTTGTTTATCTTTTGCCACAGCCCACAATACTATATGGCTACAAAAGAACGTGAGACAACATAATGCCACAAAAGCAAATAAAGGAAAAATTATTTCTAATCACTCCTTTTTTTCTTAACATGAAGATAATTCAAACATGTCATAGACGGATTGATTTGCATTGTGCATTCAGTCCTTCTGATTCAACTGGAGGTGGCTGGGGTCAATACATACCTGTTGAAATCTCAAATATCTTCCAGAAAAATCAATAAAAACTCAATTTTACAATCCTGATAATTTCAGAGTGTGTAAAAAATTGGCAAGTTGAAAAAGAAAAAAAAAAAGAAAACGTTTTTATACATAGCAAAAAAGAAGCCAAAAAAAGGCATTACCGGTTTTTCACAAATCGTTTTTAAAAGGCTGTTAAGGCTGGATGAGAATGGAAAGTTAGAATATTAATGCACAGGTTGTGCATGCATTTCAAGCACCTCACATATGGTGTATGGTACGAAAATGTTTTTCAAAGTGGAGATATAAAAATCTAAGTGCAATTATATAGAAACCATATAGATCTTTTTTTTTTCCCCCTAGCATAGAAGTCGTGCATGAACTTGAGTACATGCAATGCAGGTGCTTCAAATCTGTTGGACTTCTTTCAGAGCAAAGGCCATAGGGTTTCTTCTAGAAACAGGCCACCAACATTGGCTGTGAAGGCAGAGCAGAGGAGGCACAATCCAAATGAAATCAAACACATAACAAGATTAAAAACAAAAAAAAAAATAGTCTGGTTTAAGTTTTTAGCCAGGATGTTATGGTTTGGTAGATTCAGACAGAATATGTAATCTGATAAAGAGCCAAAATGAAAAATCAAAGCCTATACTGAGGTAGCAAAAATTGAAGTGAATTTTCAAACATGCATACATATTGGAGGAATGTTATAATCTTATTATTGTAAACTCATTCCACTCTTTCCATTCCTCTAGCATTTATTGCTCTCATTAGTTATGTAATACAAAAAAGCAGACTGTAAATTTCTTGGGTCAGTACAGTATCTTTAATGTATTCTGAACATGCCTAGTATTTCTTCAGATGTTCTATACAGAAATAATATTACCTCTTGGGCTCTTCTGAATTATTTCTAAGCATAAGAAAAATTAAAATGCAGCAAGTCTGGAAAGGTCAGACTGTGTCTTCCTTCATTTCGTGCATGACTTCAGAAATAATCAAAAAGTTATGCTGAGATAACTGATATGAGACCTGAGACACCGTGATCACAAAAGTTGGATCAATTTGTGCCCATGCAATCAAAGCACTATCTCATTTCACTCCTGAAAATATTTTTTTAATTTTACATTCTATGGATATTTTTGAACTACTGGGCCCTAATGATTGTCCTCAGCGATGTGTGGCAGTATTGTGGAATTACAC